ACACACACACACACAAGAACCATCAGGCCATAGTGAATACTGTGATCCCAGCTATTAAGGCTATGCCAGGAGGATTGAAGATTCCCATGTTGGGCGCCAGTGGCTCACACTTACAATCCTAACTACTCAGGAGGCTAATATCTGAGGATTGAGGTTCAAAGCTATGCAGGATAGAAAAAGCACATGAGACTCTTGTCTCTTATTGACCAAGCTGTGGCTCAAGTGGTAGAGTGTCAGCCCTCAGTGAAAAAGCTAAGGGACAGTGCCCAGGCCCTGAGTTCAAGCCCCAGTACCAGCACACACACACACACAAAATTCTAGGCTAGCTTGGGCTATTAGTGAGACTCTGTCCCCCCCAAAATCAAACAAAAGTTAGAGAGCTGGGGTCTAGTTCAGTGATAGAGCCTAGTGTGTGAAAGGAAGACCCTGGGTTCCAGCTAGTATTACATGACAAACAGACAAACAACACCTACAAGTCCATGCCCAGTGCTGAACAGCAAGCATGGTACAGCCCTGAAATACACGGGCCCGTCCCAAGCCCTGCCCCACACCCTGTCCCAGGTTCAGTGAGGATTGGTAGAAGGCCAAGACTCCGGCAAGTCTGGAGGAGCTGGGAGACAGCAGGCCCTCAGGCAAGCAGTGCAGGTTCGTCTGGTCTGATCAGTGTTCTGTCAGCATGGCTCCTCAGGCTCTTTGAGGCCTGGGCACAATACAGGCGCCACCGCCATCGCCAGTGCCTGCTCTAGTCGCTGCAGACTTCAGAGACCTCAGACTCAACCCTCATTCCATAAATGAAGAGTGAAAGCTCAAAGAAGGCAACGGGGTCTCCAAGGATATAGAGCCAAGTCAGAAGCGGACCTGGTGCTGGAGCCAGACCATGGCCTCCTGCCTGAGTGCGCTGCTTGCTGCCTTCCTGTCAGGAGGAAGGGGGTTAGCCTGAGCCTGCTGGTTCCCATGCCAGAACTAATGCATGTCCCCTTACCTCTGCTCACAGGCCTTGAATCCCCTGTACAGAAAGCCCATCTCCACACACACAGTGGACTTCACCTTCAACAAGTTCAACAAATCCTACAATGGCACCGTGGACTGAGGGCTTGCGCTTCTAGAGAGCTGGAGGGGACTAAGGACAAACCACCAAAGCGCTTGGACCGGCTCCATTCATCATGGCTTCCTAGATAGGCGAGTGCGGAGAGGCCCTGATGGCGAACCTGTGTGAGGAGCCTGCTGCCCAGATGAGGTACCCGGCTGCAGGGCCAGATCCACGTGGGGCTGCCTCCCTCCAAGCCCAGGAAAAGCAAGGGGACCTGGCTCCTCTTGGCCACCTCCACTGGTGTCTGGAGGAGCTGCTGACGGTGAGGCCTCTCTGCCTTGCTCGCCTGGCCAGACAGAGGACACTGTTGGGAATGGACAGACTGCAGAATCAGCGTGCGGCCTGGCTTTTCCACGTTCATCATTTTATATAAAATTAAAAAAAGGTCATGCATTTATGATGTAGTTCTGGTTTACGAGAATTGTCTGCACGTGCATGTTGGTGATGGGATTATTGAGATGTCTGTTGAAAACACATTTTGCAAATGTCAGTGCTTTTCTTCTACCTGTGTTTGTTCAGTAGTTTTGTAATGAGAACGACTGTCTGGGCTTGAAAGTAAAGATTGGAATGAAATGCATTCATGTTGGCCTGGTACTCTTGACAGATTGCTGCTTCCCCTCCCCCCCCACCTCTTTTGGGATTTGAACTCAGAGCCTCATACTTGTTAGGTAGGTACCTTACCACTTTTGCTTCAGGTTTTGTTTTTTTAATAGCGTCTCACACATTTTGGCCTTGGTGAGCCTTAGGCAATAATCTTCCTATCTGTCTGGCTTATTGGTTAAGAATGGGTCTCTCAGCCAGGCACCAGGGTTCACACCTGTAATCCTAGCTACTTAAGAGGCTGAGATCTGAGAATCAGGGTTCGAAGCCAGCCAGGGCAGAAAAGTCCATGAGTCTCTTAGAGCCAAGAAATTAGCAAAGAGCTGGAAATGGAGCTGTGGCTCAATTGGTAGAGCTCTAGCCTTGAGCAAAAGCAGCTCAGGGAAAGTGCCCAGGCCCTGAATTCAAGTCCTTGGACTGGCACAAAAAAAAAAGAGGGAGGTCTCTATTGTCATGCTAGTTTTCCCCCCCCAAGGTTAACAAGCCATGATCCTTCCAGTCTCTACCTGCCAAGTAGCTGTGATTATTCTCATGAGCAACCACACCCGGTCCTGTGTGTGCCTTTCTGAGTGATTCTGCGTAGTCCCCAGTATGGACTCAATGTAGATGTGCACTTCCTCAGGGACAGGATCCAAATTAATCCAATATTCCAGACACAGCATCTAACGGCTCCATGAGCTGCCTGGACAGCGTGCCTGTGGAACACCTCGGTTTACTTTACATTCTAGAGGGTAGAAAGTGTGTAAAGCACCCTTCTGTCCTCCAGTATTGCTGAGAGACTGGAAGCAACTTGTGCTAATAACAGGATCAAGCAGTGATTCTCACACAGAATGGATGTTTACACATGCATGTCAATAACATTTCCTTCTGGTACCTTCTTCCGAACAAAACTCATTTCAGTTTTGATTTCCTGCAGAAACATGAATTCTCCTTAGGTTCCCATATCAGAGATGGAGGACCTCAGAGGTCATCCAACCCAGGCCCTTATATATTATCAGAGGAAGTAGATTCCCAGAGAGAGGAAGTGGATCACTCAAGTGCCAGACCTCCTGAGGACAGTGTGGTATTAAGCCAACTCCAGATCACTGCTCTTTTGTGTAGAATCCCTTTCAATCAGTTGGCTTCTGGTATCACTTTAAGCCTATTGAACCTTCATTCCAAACTGATCTGTTCTCATTTTTTCATTGAATTCCCCTTCATCTGGCCATCACTAAGACAGTGTTCTCAATAAGCAGCTAATTACCTGGGGCAAACACCTTCTGAGTTTCCCTTCTCTTGTGTAACTTGGGAATGATGCCTTAAGTCCTTTTTTGAATACAGTCAGTTGTAAGTCAAAGTATACAACAAATAAAATGGTGGCTGGGAGACTAAACTGAGAAATAATCTTGGAGGAAACCGGGTTTCTCTCCCATTTTCTTATAGATTTCCTGAATTTCAGAGTGCATCATCATAGGCAACTGTGTAAGCACACAGTCACTCTGAGATGAAGAGCTCTGATCGCTACTTGACATGGATGGAAGTTGGGGGGGGAAGATTTCACCCCTGACACCAGAAGGATCGCAGTGTATATGGAACAGGACACCTGCAGTGTCCTGCTGCCCCCTGCTGGAAGCCATGGGAACAAGCAGCCTGGAGACCTGACATCTGAGATTTTACCGACTGAGCAGGAGTGACAACAAAGGCCATCCAATTATTCCAGCTGCCTCATCTTACAATTCAAACTCAGGTTTGTCATTTTATAATTTTAAAATATCTTATCAAATGGAGCTTTGGAAACAGCTCTTGCCAGTCAAGGGCTGGTACTGCCTTTCCTGTGAGTGCCCGGCTGCAGAGAGATATACTACAGATAGGGAAATTGCTTTTCTTTCTTGGCTATTTGGGTTTGAACTCAGGGCCTTGCACTCCATTTGAACTATAGCTATTCTTTTTAAGTTTTTTATTTTTTGGCTGGTCCTGGGGCTTGACCTCTGGGCCTAGGCACTGTCCTTAAGATTTGTGTTCAAGGCTAGAGCTCTACCACTTGAGCCACAGCGCCATTCCCAGATTTATTTGTGTGTTGTGTGTGTATGCATGCACATGCATGTACGTGGAGATAAGAGTCTCACTGGCTTTCCTGCCCATGTTGGTTTCAAACCACAGTCTTCAGACTTCAGCCTCCTGAGTAGCTAGGATTATAGGCATGAGCCACTGGCCTTGGGTATTTTTGTTATTTCTAGAATAAGATTTTGTGATATGTTTAGAATGGCCTGGACTGCAGTCCTGCTATTTGTGCTTTTCACATGGCTGGGGTTACAAATATATTGGCAAGATTTTATTGGTTGAAATGGGGTCCCATTAACTTTTTGTACAGGTTGTCCTTGAACCACAAGCCTCCTGACTTTAGCCTCTCCAGTAGGTGGATTATAGGCATGGTGGGATTATCTGGGCATAGTCACCATGCCCAGGTAGAGAGAGATTTCTAATGCCGAGGGGTCTGCCCTTGTTCCTGTGGCTCTATAAGAACACAACAGAGAAAACAATCTCCTCCGGCTTGTAACTGGAAAGCTTAAAAGGTATGTGCTTATTTGTTGTAGAGGAGAGAACTTTACCTTTGTAATCTATATATATGTGTTCTTAAGACCAGGCTTTTTTATGTAATCCAGGCTGGCCTTAGATTTATGATCCTCTTGCCTGAGCCTTCCAAGAGCTGCAATTACAGGCTGAAACCATCACATCAGTTTATGTGGCTCTGGCTCTCAAGTCAGATTTCTTAATGTACTTCATATTTTAGTGATTTAAATGACTCTGTGTGTGTGTGTGTGCAAGCGTGTGTGTGCACAACTGCATGAATGCACACGTGAAATAGTATAGAGGCTTGAACTCAGGGTCTGGGCATTGTCCTTTTATTCAAAACTGACACTTTACCACTTAAGCCACATCTCCATTCTGGCTTTTTTTCTAGTTAACTGAAGATAAGAGTCTCATGGATTTTCCTGCCTGGGCTGACTACACAAGGCTGTCCTCAGAAGGACTGGCATGAGCCACCAGTGCCCAGCAACTTGCTTTTTTTCTTTTCCTAGTTACATAATTCTGAACTGAGTAGATGGGAAATAAAAGCAGAAAGTCTGATAGCTTGGCTCTGAAGGGTCTTCCCGAGGCATTACAGGAAGGTGGTAGAAGCGTTGAGGCAGGGCCTAGTGGTAGACCCTCCATCCAGTCCCTGGGGCTGTGCCCTGGCCAGTGGATCATGGAACCAGGGCCATTTGCTTAAAATCTCCTTCATTCCCAGGCATCAAATGAGTGGCTTTGTTTAGCCACAAGCATCCTGCCATACTGTGCTGCTTTGCCATAGGTGCAAAAGCAATGGAGCCAACCACTCATGATGTAGAACCTCCACAAACATGAGCAAGATCAACATGCCCTCATTCAGGTAGTTAGCACAGCAATGGAGAGCTAACACAGTCTTTTTGTGTATATCTTCTTAGTCTTATTCCATGCACTGACATGTAATTTCGGCTCAGGTGTGATTATACTTGGCACCTTTTGGAAAAGGAGCCTGGTGCTGGTGGTTCACACCTGTAATCCTTACAACTCAGGAGGCTGAGATTTAAAGATCACAGGTCAAACCCATCGTAGGCAGGAAAGTCTGTGAGACTCTCATCTCCAATTAACTGCCAAAAAGCTGGAAGTGGAGCTGTGGCTCAAGTGGTAGAACACTAGCCTTGAGTAAAAAAGCTCAGGGTCAGGCTCCTTGGGCTCAACCCCCAAACCCAGCACCACCATGGAAGGAAGGGAGGAAGAAAAGAAGGAAGGAAGGAAGGGAGGAAGGGAGGGAGGGAGGGAGAGGGAAAGGACAAAAAAGCTAAAGCTCAGAGCCAGGCGCTGGTGGCTCACGCCTGTAATCCTAGCTACTCAGGAGGCTGAGATCTGAGGATCGCGGTTCAAAGCCAGCCCGGGCAGGAGAGACCGTGAGACTCCTATCTCCAATAAACCACCAGAAAACCGGAAGTGGCGCTGTAGCTCAAGTGGTAGAGCGCTTGCTTTGAGCTGAAGAGCTGAGGGACAGTGCTCAGGCCGAGTTCAAGCCCCACGACTGACGGAGGAAAAAAAAAACCCTAAAACCCAGCACCAGCACAAAAAAGAAAAAAGAAAAACAAAAGGAAGAAAGGAAGGAAAGAGAAAGAAAAAGAAAGGGAGGAAGGAAAGGAAAAAATGAACAAATAGAAGTGTCGCTGCTTGGTTGGTTAGTACTTCATCAAATGGTAATAGCCAGTAGCACCTCTCCCTGTTGAAGGGAAGAAATGTACTTCTGTAATTTGCTGAATTTGCCGATTGCTATGAAACCTTGCTGGTACTGCGGCTTTGAACTCAGGGCCCTATGCTCCCACTCAGCTTTTTCACATGGCTGACACTACTGCTCGAGCCACACCTCCAAAAACGCCAGAATGTTTTTTGCTGGTTAATTGGAGATTAGTTTCTCCTGGACTGGCTCCAAACCGCTGAGTAGCTGCCTCCTTTTTGGAGGACTTCCAGTCCAAGTGGCTCCCACTTGCTTCTGAGGGCACCCTTGAATATTCAGCTGTTACATCGTTGGAATCTCATCTCCTCCAAATACACACACTGAAGGTCTGCCCACTAACGCTGGTGTTCCGAAATGAGGTCTTTAGAGAATGATTTAAGGTTTAAATAGGGCCATCGGATGGGGCCCTAATCCGACATGACTGGTGCCCTTTATAAACAGAGGAAGAAATGTGGGGCTGTGAGGACACAGCAAAGAGGCAGCTATCTACAGCCTCGGAGGAGAGGCCTCAGGAAACACGGCCTCCAGAACAGTAAGAGCAACCTATGGTTTCAGCCTCTAGTCCATGGCATGTTGTTACGGCTGCCAGAAGAAACTAAAACCTACTATTTTCATTTTTGTGTTAGTACTGGGCCTTGAACACAGGGCCTGGGTGCTGTCTCTTAGCTTTTTTGCTCAAAGCTGGAACTCTACCCATTGGGACTACACCTCCAGTTTCAGCTTTTTTGGTGGTTAACTGGTTATAGAATCTCATGGACATATGAGCTGTTTGAGCTGGCTTTGAACTTCAGTCCTCACATCTCAGTAGCAGGGGCTTAGGCTTGTCTGCCTCTGACCCTCTCCAGCACAGAAGATTCATGCCCCTGTCCTGCTTCATAGGCTGGGCAGAAGCCATGCAGATGTTCCACACCAGCACTGTGCCAAAATCTTGAACTTTAAATGGCAAAGCATATTCTCATTACTTTGTTTCTCTTTGTATTTCTACTGTGACCTCCCCTTCCTGAGACACAAAAGGGGAGGAAGGGTTGAAGGGAAAAATGGATTGAAAAAATCATTTAATTCAGACAAAGCCAGATTATAAGTATCAAAGGCAAGAGAGAGTACTGGGGCCTGAACCTGGGGTCTTGTGCTCTTGATTGGCTTTTTCACTCAAGGTTGGTGCTTTACCTACTTAACCTACACCTCTGCCCAGGATGTCCTGATGGTCAGGACAGAACCTACCTCTGCAGAACACAGGAGGAGGCTGGTGATTCTCTGACCTGCTCTGATTTCCTGGGGCACTTAGGTGAGCCACAATAACCAGCACAGGGCCACATTCTGGAGAAGCAAAGTCCACGCTTCTGTAGGAAGGACGGGGGCACAGGAGTCCCAGTAGCACAAAGGTCTTGGCCCAGGGTTCTCAGTGGTCACTGGCCCCAGTGAAGGCGCACAGGCTGCTGGGGGAGGTCTTCACTGAAGTGTAGTATCTGTGGAGGCAGCTCCACCTGTGGGGAAAGCGTGGTGAGAGGCCTCTCTGCACCTGGCACAGGGGCAAGCCACTAGGAGCATTTCCCATGAAGGAACACACTTACTGTGGGTAACAGATGTTTTGGCTTACCTAGGTCTCTAACTTTACACTTCTCTTTGTCCTAGCAGGCCTGAGATCTGACTGCTGTGTCTACTTAGGGCTGTAGGGCAATGGGAGCAAAAAGTCCTCTCCTCTGCTGCCTGTGTGAAATGAGTCAGTGGTTAGGGGTGAAGACAGCCTGAGTGGACTGTTAAAGCTGGCTGGGCCTTTGGAAGAACAGAGGATGGTGGTCACAGGTCTGAGTGTGAGAGATCTCTTCTGTACTGAGCGCTGGCTCAGAAGCCCTCAGAGGCACTGTGTTCCAGGAAGTGGTGGCCGACTCAGCCTCCTATATGGCTGCTTCTCAGGTGCCTTCACTACACTGAAGCAATGCATCTTGGGATGCCTGGGCTCTGTCCCTGAGTTCTTTTGCTTGGATCCATTGCTCTACCACTTGAAGCACAGCTCTACCTCTGGCTTTTTTGGTGGCTAACTGGAGGTAGTAAGTCTCATGAATCTTTCCTGGCTTCATACTGTATTCCTCAGATCTCTGTCTCCTTAGTAGCTCAGATTATAGGCATGAACCACTGGTATCTGATTTAAACATGATTTTTGACTAAGTAAAATGTAGATTATATTTGTAATGTATACAGGAGCTTGTTATCCTTTGGGAAAACTCTTGTAGTGTATGTTGTATTAAATGGTGGACACAATGAATGCATGGGTCTCTTCCACTCTCCTCCCATCCAGTCAGTACTAGATATTAAACCCAGGGCTTCTCTAGGGAAGTGTTGGACCACTTGAGGCATACCACCTAGCCATTTTAGCTTGTATTTGGATGGTCTCATAACTTTCTCCATCTTATCTCTGCCTTGTAAGAAGCCAGGATTATAAATATGTGCCACCACTTGTGCCTTGCTGGATCATTTTTGAGGTTTAAATACTGGAACTTGTTTTTTTTCTAATGATTATGATTTTTATTATATATTGGAGTCTGAAGACAGGCGGGATTATGACTAATGGAGTTCCCAATTTTGTTGAAGAAGTTTAAGAAATTGTGAAGAGGAAGCAGCTGTTTTCTAATTGTATTAAGAAAATGTGGCCGTGACTAATTGGAAAGTTTGAGTATGAATGCTGCCAGCTTGCAGTATTTTGACCATCCCCCATGTACTGTGTTCGGCCAGAAGGTAATTTTCCTGAGGAGGTATCACAGGAGGAACTGATCCAAACAGTACATGTGAAAATACAGAAAATGAGCCATGTCCATAAAGGCACCATTAGTGTGGATGATTGAAATGACCCCTTAGGTTAACCGTTAACATTTGTTTTTGTAGTGGTATGGGATTTTTCTCTGGCTAGTGCTCTACCACTTGAGCCAGGACTTTTTGTTGCTTACTTGGATATAGAATTTCTTGGACTTTTCTGCCCAGGCTGCCTTCTAACTGTAATCCTCAAATCTCAGCTTCCTCGGTAACTAGGATTACAGGTATGAGCCACTGTTGCCATATCTTTCATAACAAGAAGTGCAGGTTTCCTTGCTGAAATGTCTGATAATTCTGCTAAGTGGAATGTCTTCCTTCATTCTCAGGTACTACAGGAAAGGGTTTTAGAAGTGTTTCTGTTAGCAGAGGTTTGTATGAACAAGAAATGTTTCTAAAGATCATGAAATTGTTACCTGATTAGGAACTGATACAGAAATACAAAACTGACATAAACCAAAATTGCTTGCTTCCTAAATTGTTATAGTAAGATTACTAGTTATTTGTGTGTGTGAGAGAGAGAGAGAATACTAGGGCTTAGAACTCAAGAGTCTGGGTGCTGTCCCTTAGCTTTTTTTGCTCATGGCTAGTGCTCTACCACTTGAGCCACAGGCCCACTTCCGGCTTTTTGATGGTTAAACTGAAGATAAAAATCTCATGAGTTTTCCTTCCCAGTCTGGCTTCAAACCTTTATCCTCAGATCTCAACCCCAAGTAGCTAGGATTACAGGTGTAAGCCACTGGCGCCAGGCTAGGTTACTAGAGTTTTAAACAATTTCTAATGTATAATTACTACAAGTACAGTAACTCATGTGAAAAATGTTTAAGACATGAATTGGCAGTCAATCAGATTGCAGTGGTAAAAGGTGCTATAGTTAAATAAATGGAGGTCTATTTCCTCAACAGAACCTGTCTCTAGTGCTTCAAAACTGATAGGAATAATGCTGAGGTGTCATATTGCTTCAAGGAATTATTTTCACCATGTAATCTTTGTGTCTCCAGTAGAAGCCAGCCATTCCACACTGACAACCTGAAATGGGGTCTTGTAGACTTGAGATGAAACTGCTTTTAAGGGCACTGCGATTAGTAGTCTTGGGTCTTCCCTCCAGCACCTGGAGCTATACACTTGTTAGAGTAAGGCAGAGCTGACCAGAGTGTTTTCTAGATTTATAAGAACAAGACTGTGCATGGTAATGAGACCCTAACCTTCAAGTTTCCCTTGGTTATGCCACCCCCTTTGATTTGATGGAATTACGCTGTAACCAGTCACTTTTAGCACTTGTTCTTACTCCTTAGTTTGGTCCTGGGTAGTAGTATGACATGGTCTTTCCTGGCTTTTTTTCTTTGTTGGTGATGGGCCAGGGCACCCTACCACTTGAGCCATAGTGCCACTTCTGGTTTTCTGGTGGTTAATTGGAGCTGTTCCTGCCTGGGTTGGCTTTGAACGGTGATCCTCAGATCTCAGCCTTCTGAGAAGCTAGGTTAACAGGCGTGAGTTACCAGCACCCAGCTTTTCTAGCTTTTAAAAGCTTCCATTTGGGGGATGGGAATGTGGCTTAGTGGTAGAGTAGCTTGCCTAGCATGAATGAAGCCCTGGGTTCGAGTCCTCAGTACCACATAAACAGAAAAGGCTGGGAGTGGTGCTGTGGCTCAAGTTGTAGAGTGCTAGCCTTGAACAAAAAGCTCAAGGATAGTGCCTAAACCCTGAGTTCAGGCCCCGGGACTGGCAAAAAAAAAAAAAAAAAACAACTTCCATTTTTGAAGTCATGTAACTCCATTACTCACCAGAGAGTAAGCATACTGAGATGGATGATGGGAAAATACTGATGTAATGGGTTGCTAAAAATGACTTAACAGGGAAAAGTCTACAGTTACCAATACTTGTATAGATCCCTGAATGTGGTGGACTTAACTGGCTGGACCTTGCTTGTAACCCCTGATACTGAAGTCTCTCCAGTATACTGGGTCCTCAAGTCTTCTAACGTGCAGCTACCTGCTGAGTACGAAATCACCTCTTTGGATGGAAAAAGAACTTGAAGTGTGGGTCATGTGTGGAGACCTGAGTCCCAGGACCAGTGACACTTGGTGACAGCCTGAACAAAAGGGGGAAATGTTCAAATTTGTGGGAGGCCATGGATTTGAACCGGGCCTAATAAACCAATACAGATTTAACTGGGTGGCTGCAGGAAGCACTGCAAGCAGTCAACCAGGAGAATATGAGCAGCTGATAGGAAGTTTGTAACTACAGCAAGCTGGTTCTGGGAGCTGCCTACTTTGCAAATACATTTGTTGACTTCATTCAAACTCCCATCCAAACTGGACACTAGTGAAGGCTGGCTTCCCACTATAATGACAGCTGGGATAATTAGGTAGGATCCTCAAGCCAATCCCCAGGTGGAACCTGCAGCTGATAGCTTAAGGGAAAGCAACTAACTTACTCAACAAGGCAAAAGAGAGCTGTGAAGGACTCCTGCTGCTGAGAAGTGAACCAGAAGCTCAGTGACAGTAATTCTCCCCTTCTCACCTGCACTCGGGTAAGAAAAATGGTTCTTGGATCCAGCACCATTTGAATACCTACACCGTCACCTTTAAGGTGACTTAACAGACATTATTTGGGCAACATATTAAAGAACACATGCTCTACTGGTTTTACCCTCTATTTCTAAAATGGTCTTGTTCTGGTTGCCTAATAACAAAAGTCTCAATAAAAGCAGGCTTTAAAATGATCTTGTTATATAGTTTCAATGCAGTGATTACAAGCTATTGTCAATATTTTCTGGTTCATGATTTAACTCAAGTCCCTTCCACGCAGCAGGAAAGGCCAATCATTTCAAGACAGCAATTTTTAGGAGGCCACTAAGTTTCAGTGCATTTATATGAATGTAGCCAATGCACTCAATTCTCAAGTCTATTCAAATAAGCTTCCCAGGCAGCCTTCCGGTACATCTCAGCTGCTTCCATGCGATTAGCAGCTGAAAGTATTCCCCGTCCTACAATGATGACATCAGAACCTCGTTTACCAATAACTTCTTGTGGACTGTTATACTGTTGGCCAAGATGATCCCCTGTAGACAAAAACAAAGCATAATACAAAAAAACAAAGATAATACAAATATCTTAAAAACCTGCCATATCTCCTTTGAAATATTATCTAATTAGCTCTAAAAATGTTCCTGCTTTCTAGTCCAGGTGATGAGATTCCCTGGATCTGCCAGAGACCACCCTAAAGAAGGATCCTAACCTACTCCTTTTCAATGTAGGTAATTCTAGAACATTTATAGTTTTGTGTGTGTTAAATATGGTTAATCTGTTTCCAAGAAAAGATTCAGTAACATCTTCCTTGAAGGCATCTAACCTGATAACCACCATTTAATATGACCCTTTCTGAGATGCCTCAGAAGTATTTACACCTTAATCCTTCATGGACACTTTTTAAGAAAGATAGTTAAAGCTTTATAACTGTACTAGCTAGTTATAGAACTGTGGGGACAAGGTACCCCTGAAACAGCCTCCCAATGGTATTTCTCTCTCTATTGTATCTACTTCCTGTTTAAAGTTACAGATTTCCAAGTGAATAGGCCAAGAACCCAAATCTGATTCAGAATATTTGGCACAAATGTGGATCTTAAATAAGTGTCCAGTTTTTGCAAACCAATGCAAACACTTAGGAAGCCTTACGTAGACCAGTCATTCCGCTGAGGCCTGCTCTGTGATGGGAAAGGGCACAGGAAGCATCCAACGACCTCACTGTTTTTAATTGATTCAATCTCACTAGCCTGTTCTTCCCAGTTAAAAGAATGTGGTTATATATCAACCTTCTTAGTCTCCAACACTAATCCTTCCATCTGTTCAGCATAGTGCCCTGTCCACTCCTTCAACACCTGAGTTGTTCCTCAGAGCACTCCTCTACTCAGATCTGCTAGTAGTCTACAGGAGTATTCAAGACACACTCCACATGTACAGAAAAGCAAAATGTCCCTGTTTGTAAACAATATGCACAAGGGCAATGTTTGAACATATGGCCAATTGTAACTGGAAAACACTGGCTATAAAAAGAATGCAGTAACTCTCTCGGTGCCATGGATAAGTAGGTAGAGCCAGTGCCTCCCTTTGTGGATGAGGTAACCACTAGGGTAAATCTATCTACTTCCTCTGAAATATCTTTTGAATTTTGCAATGATAAAAACAATCAGAGCTTACCACCTAACCAATTACACTGAGGGGTGATAAACAGTTTTCAGTTTACAGTCATTAAATGAGAACCCTAATGATCAAATTACTACTCCAGACCAACCTAAGTCTACAAGGGAAAGAAATGGAAAGCGGGCTCTGTCCATACCACTAACTGTGATGGGGACCTTTCTTGCCATGTTTTAAGTCATTTCTCCCTCATTCATTGAAAACAAGTTGATTATCAGAGTCCTACAGAATACTTAAACATACCTCTATAATCTATATTACCCCCTAGCTGAATAAAAAATGGAACTGTTTTTTATCACCACACTTCATTTGTCAGACTGCATAATGTTTCATATTCCAATTGGTTTGGGAATTACAGCAGAACTGAAGTGCTCCATGTTGGAGATTCATGGTATATATTTGCACAAAGAAGCAAAAAGTTTTATTTTGTTAGCTCCTCTAAAAGTTTCTAAACTCTGGAGCACACAATACCTTCTTTTAGCAGCATATTCAGAATACCAACCAGAAAACATTAACCTCAAGTATAAGGTTGTGGCCTATTTCAAGGACTTTCTAAATTTTAATCCTAAAATTAGATTACAAGCTGTTTTGCAAATACAGACCAGTATCACTGGGCTAAAAGACTCAATCACAATTGTTCTAGACCAATGCCTTTCTATAGCAACTTTAATAGTTTTATTTTTAGTGTTTATGATATGAGTAAAGAAACGGTTTGAAAACAGACTTACCTCCTGCTTGTAACTGAACTCCTGGGGTCAAATGAAGAAATTCTGGTTTCATACTTACTCGAGAACCAGAAATAAAACCCACCACAAATTCACAGTACTCTTCAGCCATTCCAACCTATAGAAAATATGCCATAAGAAAACAGTTAATACTTTAAAAAAATTATCCTAATTAAGCAGATTCAACATAAATTCACTACCTAAAACTGGTTATCTTAAATATGAATGACCAAACAACTGTGCTTCATTAGCGCATAAGATGACCTCTTCCCCCATGTAGCTCATCAAAATCCCTGTACTTCTGCATCTAAAGTATTTATCTGTATTTATTTTTATTTGTATTTATCTGTAATTATCCATTCTCAAATATCAAGAGCTAAGGAAATCTTTCATCTCTGCCACTTTCCCTCTTCTTCAACCCCTGCTATGAACCATCTATTTTTCACACTATTGTTTCACATACACAGCAAGTCTGCCTGGCTTTCTGCTCTGGTTCTTTCCTGACACTATTCTACTCTGACCACCAGATATTACCAGTAACAAGTCAATTCCTGTCCTGGAGTCAGACTTACATGCCCCAAATATTAATATTAGCAATGACTTCTTAGCCCCTCTGCTTGTAAGGGGCAAAATCAGGGAGAACTTAGGGGAGGAGCGAGAACCTAACCCATACAAGTTCTTAAGAGTCTCACATAGCCTTTATGAATTATACCAGGAAAAGTGTGAAAAGGCACTCTGTGTGTGCTGGTCCTGGCTTGAAATCAGGGCCTGGGCACTATCCCTGAACTTCTTTTGCTCAAGGCTAGCACTCGAGCCACAGCTCTGCTTCTGGCTTTTTTTTTTTTTAAGTACTTTAGTGAAGTCTCACAGACTATTCTGCCCAGGCTGGCTTCAAACCAATCTCCAGATCTTAGCCTCCTGAGCAGCTAGGAATGCAGGCATGAAACCCTGGTGCCCAGCAGAAGAGGCACTTTTCAAGTAGAAAATTTGATGTGCCGGGCTCAGGGTGGGGTTCAGGGCAGACACCAACACATACGTACTGGAAGAACTTTTTTAATACTACAGAAAACAATGTGGCTTGACCCCTTAAGCTTTTCCCACCCAATACCAATCACTATTAAGAGCCAGGGTAAAAAGAAACCACTTAATGGGGACTGCTGTCATGAAACTGGCACTGTGGGACTCAGGACACTCACACTGCACATCTGGAAGATCTTTTCAACTCCAGGTGAGAAGAAAATTTCAAGTACAAGCAAGAGAGCTAGCTTGGGTACTGGTGGCTTGCTCACACCTGTAATCCTAGTTACTTGGGATACTGAGGATCTGAGGATTGCAGTTGGAAGCCAACCAGGTAGGAAAGGCTGTGAGACTTTTATCACCAATCAACCACTAGAAAACTGGAAGTAGAGCTGTGGTTCAAAATGGCAGAGTGCTAGCATTGGGGAAAAGAGCTCAGGAGCAACACCCAGGCCCTGAGTTCAAGCCCCATGACACGGACAAATAAGACACATGCAGCTAAAGACAGAACCTTTTAAAAAAAAATGTGAAAATACCATACAGAGGGGTCACAATTACATGATCAAGGTAATAAGTACATTTCTTATCAAGCATGGTTACCTCCTCCTTTGTTTCACCTTCCCATCCCCCCTAGTCCCCCACCCCCCTCAAGACAGACCCTTATTTAACTGTGTCTTCATGTTTCTCCCAGAGTGTAATTCAAATTCCTTAAGTGTCCAGTAGGAGATACTCTACTAAGTATCAAGAAACTGTATCCAATTTTTGTTAGCTTACTATCTCAGTAACAGCAGCTATTTGCAGGGTGAGACAGGGCTTCCCACAGACCCCAGATGAAGACATTTTCTTGCCCTGAAGCATGCAGCAAAACAGCCCTCATCTCTCCCACCAGTCCTTGTCACTCACCGCTGCTTTAGTGTAGTTGCCAGTGGCCAGGGAGCCAGCAGAGCTCATTTCCGCAATGAGCAGGCACCCGCGTTGCAAAGGCAGTCCAACTTCCTGCAGGCCTTTCACAACCCCTGCACCTGGAACCACGTGAGCATTTACCAGGTCTGCCCAGGAAGCTATTTTAAAGACACCACCTAAGAAGGGAGGAAAAAGATACTTGCCAACTCTCAAACAAAAACCTCTTTGGTTTTGCCAACATGTTAATGAAGTTAAACATTTCAATGTCTTAAGCGATTATCTACCTGGTATCGAGGTGAGAGAACAATGAGAAGAAATTCTTAGGAGCTCTGTAACTTTGTCAGGCCTAGTGATAAGTCTAACTTATTTTCAGACTGAAGCCTGGAACCCCATTGGTAAAGCTCATGCAATTAGAGACAGAATCCAATGAAGACAGGCATTAACTGAGATCAGACAACAACATCCTGAATCTCCTCTTGAAGATGACCAATTTCCACTCAGCAAGGATCTCCCAACAACTTCTCAATGTTAATTAATTGGCTCTTCTTAACTATTCTGATTTCAAATGAGGAACTCTACACATTTTAAAAACTAGTGGCAATGATTCCACATACACACACCCCCTCCACCTCCCCGGTCCTGGGGCTGAAACTGAGGGCCTGGACACTGTCCCTGAGCTTTTATGCTCAAGGCCAACACTCTACCACTTAGCTACCCAAGACTCAAAGTGGTGCTGTGGCTCAATTGGAGATGAAAGTCTCACAGATTTTCCTGCCAGGACTGGCTTCAAACTGCAATCCAAATCTCAGCCTTCTAAGTAGCTAGGACTACAGGTGTGAGCCACCAGCACCAGGTAGTGCCACCAGCAACGGGCAGTAATGATTAAAACAAAACAACATGCAAGTATGGATGCTGATGGCTCATGCCTGTAATCCTATCTACACAGCAGGTTGAGATCTGAGGGCCATTGTTCAAAGATAGCCTTGGCAGGAAAGTCAGAACCAGCAAAAAGCCAGAAGTGGAAGTGAGGCTCATGTGGTAGAGCACTAGTCTTGAGCAAAAACCCCAAAGAACTTAAAGTCCCAGAACTAACACACACACCAAAAAAAAGGTTGGGACGGAGGGAGCCAGAGGAAGACATGCAAACTTCAAAAAGTTGTACAATTCTTATGATAGTCAATAAGCTAAAGGGAACGACAGTGTTAGGGCATCTGCACATGACGCTAGTCACGTAGACATTTCTATCAGAAAGAAATAGCTTGGGAAAACACATGTTACTTTAAGAAAAATTTACCTCAAAGATGCCTGCAGGAACAGATACATCCCCAGGTGAGCTAATGAAGGGATTCTACACAGTGAAGCACTGTGGGGTTTGCCTACCTGAGGTAAGAAGTCAACAGAAGAAAGAAGAGCTGAGAAAGGGGGAGAGAACAGTTTCAGAAGACATCACTTGAGCTTCTGGATCCAACCACACTTGACAGTCTGCTCTATGGCTGTACTTCCAGTTATGCTTGCCAATACATCAACTTTTTTCCTTTTCGCCAGTTTAGGCTGAATCTGATTCTTGGAGATTTCTCAAAAATACTCTTACCTTCATATTGTTTTTTTACTGTGTTCCCTATATCTGCAAATTTCCGGTCTTCAAATATTAAGAACTCATGACGTTTTGCCAGAGCTGTCAACTCCTTCATCACATCCAGATTAAAATCATCCAAAATATCTACATGAGTTTTGAGCATGCAGATGCTGGGTCCTAAGCTATCTGCTAACTGCAATAGCTCAGTGGCCTCTGAGACATCAGCAGACAGACACAGATTGGTCTCTTTCTTTTGCATAAGCTGCAGAAGCTTTGAGGCAACAGGATGGGTCCGGGGCAGTTCTGCACGTGCACCAAAGCTTAGTTCCTTGGGTGTTTCCTTTACAGAAGTGAGAAAGCCATTATGGTTAGCTGCCAAGAAAACGTTCTCCTGAATGAATCTCTTCACTCTCCCAACCATCTCAGAATCAATTTTTTTCTTCTGTTCAAGAATCTCCAGCATTTTGGAGAGTGTACACACTGAGTGGAGACGGATCCCGTGTGCCTCCAACTTGTCCTTGCCCCCCTGCTCTCTGTCCAACAGTACGATGGCATCAGTGACCTTCAGGCCCTCCTTCTGAAGAACCTCAACGGTTTCCAAAACACTAGATCCACTGGTGACAACGTCTTCAATAATTAAACAGGTTTCTCCTGGATTAATCGTTCCTTCTACAAGACGTTTAGTACCTAGAATAGAAAAAAAAATCTAATTACAATTTACACACACATTTCAGCCAATTTAAGACAGATACTGCAGAATACATTTAGTGTACAGTTATGAAGAATGAGATGCTCTAAACCTTATATTCTAACTGTCTACTTTGGAGCTATTTTGTTTTCTGATCACTCTTCAATGTGCCACCATAACTGTTTTGTTCAGTGTCTCTGTTTCCCCAAACTGCCATTATATATGAAATATTTATGGCAAATCTAGCGATTTACTTTGCAATGTAAATATCAATGTGTCTGTAAGCTCAAATATGGAATTTCTTAAAGTGCAATATCCTAGGTTAAGCAGTTATGAAATAAAAGTATCAACTAAATTCCTTTAATTATTCCTTTTAATTCCTCTACTTCAAGTTCATCACTAAAACAGCTGCACAATTTGCTTTTTTGTTGTTGTTATCAGCTCTTCAGCTCAAGGCAAGTGCTCTACTACCTGAGCCACAGTGCCACTTCTGGGTTTTCTGGTGGTTTATTGAAGATAAGAGTTTCACAGACTTGACTGCCCAGGCTGGCTTTGAACTGTGATGCTCAGATCTCAGCCTCCTGAGTAGCTAGGATTATAGGCGTGAGCCACCAGCACCCAGCCACAATTTGCTTTTTGAAAATAAATTCAGAAGGAAAATATTTTGCAACCTTTTTAGACCCACTTCAATTTTTTGTGATTAAATATACTACTTTATCTTCGAATCCCATTATTTTCATAGAATCTACAAACTGTCAATAGCTCAGGCTGTAAACTTTTATAGACTCATTCTTTGGAGACTCCTTTTAGATTTTCCACTACTAACTAATCTTGTTTAAAATATGTGGGTATTTTATCCATTTCTTGATTCATCTCTGACCTTTTCAATTTCATTTTTTTTTGACCTTTTCAATTTCTTTTAACTCCTTTCTTCCTCTTAAAGAATTGGCAAACCTGCTAGGTACCAGTTGCTCAAGCCTATAATTCTAGCTACCTAAGAGGCTAAGATCTGAGGATTGTGGATCAAAGCCAGCCCAGGAAGGAAAGTCTAAGACTCATCTCTCCAAAGCCAACAGTACAGCTGTGGTTCAAGTGGTAGAATATTAGCCTTGAGAGAAAAAAAATCAGGAACAGTGTCAAGGACACCAATTCAAGCCTTAGGACTGGCCAAAAAAAAAAAAAAAAAATGCAGCATATATTCCTAGGACATCCTGCTAAAGAGAGAATATATCAATATACAGTTGATGTTTCAACTGCCTAATCAGTTCAGCTAATGAAAAATATTAGCTAATGGAAAGAAAGGTGATTTAAATCAGGCATTAACCAATTCCACAGGTGACAATAACTTAAAGAACTTAGGAAGAATAACCAAATACCAGGAAAATAATGGTACAGGAAAAACTTCCTAACAGGTTGCACGTTAACTTAAAAGTTTTTGCTACTTTAAAAAAAATTTTATTTATTATAAAGGTGATGTCCAGAGGAGTTAAGAGTAACATAAATCAGGAATTGAGTAATTTCTTTTCGAATAGTGTCACTCCTTCCCTCATTTTTGCTCAGTCTTTCCCTCCCCACCATCCTTCTCCCCCATGCAGAGCTACTTATCCTCTTACCATAATCTTTTGTTTCCTTCCTTCTAATGAGCATTGGAATTTGATTGGTCGAACAGATAACTGTAGCCAGTGGCAGTGCAGTGTAAGGTACCCCACACACTGTGTCAAAACTGATCCCTGCATTCTGGGCAGTTTGGAATAAAATATCTGCAACCTGTAAGCAAATGAATATATACACTTCCTATTATTATTTTTAAATGGCATAGAAATCATGTGACAACATTAAAGATAGATAACTTGGTAGAGGATTAATCTCAAAAGATAGATAACTTGGTAGAGGATGAATCTCAAACCTAATGGTGGAAGAGAAGAGGAACAAATGCCTTTTAGTAAATTTCAGGGTACTTATATCCACAAATGGATTAGCCAAACAGTTGGCCTTTTTAAGACATAAACGCACAAGGGAAAATATTCAAAATCATTTGGACACATTACCATAATTAAATTCTAGTAAAAAACACAATATAAATGCAGGAAAGAATCTATTCAGCCTGATGACTCAGGACAGACTTGAAGGGTACTAGGGAAGGTCATGACATTGATCCCAAAGATTAAAACAGTCCCCAGACTACCCTACTACCCCTCAGTAATGTTATACTTTCAGTATTAATGACACTTGGCTAAAGTTTCTGAAGAAAGTCTTCAACTAAGAAGTTTTGTGAAGAGTCTATTGTGTGAAATATACTTTATACTTTCCACATAAATAAAATTTTAATGCCCCAAATCCTATTTCCACCTTACACTTTCCGAAAAATAAATTCATAGCTACTTCACAAACTAGAAGTCTTTTGGTGTGTGTGTACACTATTCTACCTTTTGGGGGTGTGTGTGTGTGTGTGTGTACTACTCTACCTCTTGAGCCACAGATACTACTTCTGGCTTTTTGGTGTGTGTGTTACACTCTACCTCTTGAGCCACAGATACTACTTCTGGCTGTGTGTGTGTGTGTGTGTTACACTCTACCTCTTGAGCCACAGATACTACTTCTGGCTTTTTGGTGGCTAGTTGGAGATAAGAGTCTCATGTATCTTCCTGCTCAGCTGGCTTCCAACCACAATCCTCAAGAGGGACTCAGAACTCAGCGTCCTAAGTGGCTAGGTTAGAGGTCTTGTAAAATGTTTTTTTGCTCATGTACTTCTAAATATTTAAAGGTCTGTGAGTATTTTTAATTTGTAACTATTTCTCATACTAAAAATATTAATTTATCCTCAAACTATGACTTGCGGCCTATATCTCCACTGGGGGAGGCGGGGAACAGGGCTAGGTCTAGCCCTGTGGAAAGCATTTGTCTTAAGAGTGTGCAAGATTCTGGGTTTAATCCCCAGCAAATCCAGCAAATGCATGCTCCCCACCACCACCCACGACTATGAAATTAGAATTTTTTTCATGTTTTCAACCTGAGGTTTTAACTTCACTATTTCCACAGAATTTTATTTGTCAACGTCTAAGGCGTTGGGGTCCGTGGGTAAGAGTCACAAAATCACTAGGATACAGGGGGTGTAGAGTGCAAACAGCAATTGCCACTGCATGCTGTGCTTTATTGTTAGTGGGTATTTAAAGACAAGCAAGCATGATCTTTGCCAAGATTTAGTTAGGAGAAATTTACACAAAGAATTTCAACAGATACATTTTTTACTTAACCTATGAGACAATGACTTTGTATGTTTTTATCTAAACTATTTTAGAGCAAGCTCAAACCACTTTCCCAATCTCAGGAAAATGCTTGACTAGCTGTTTATCTATGTTTAAGCAAGCAGAAGAACTACTTCCTCAGCTTCCAGGAGTCTGTGACATGTGTTTTGAGATAGGGAGAGAGAACATGTTCCCCCTCTCGCCTGGCATGCCAGGAGCTTTTCATATACACAAACAGTCTTCAGATAATCCTGAGGCCGGAGCCTGCATCATTCTGCCCCTTCAACATTGACACTAAGTCTTCACATTTACTCCAATATAATATAATTTGTTTGAAAATTTATCTGCTTCTCTTCATGTATATAAACTGAAATGTATGTTAACTTACATTTAAAATTATGCCTTCAAGTCTTAAGTCTTTTGTATTATCATGAGCACAGAATTAAAATAATTGATAAATTTTGATGGAAGCATGAGAACATTATTTTGGAAATGCATTTCTTAGTGACATAAATAGCTTCTCCTTACAATTAATGCACACATAAAACCATAATCAAATACTCCCTATTACTAGGTGTTAGTATTATGCTCACCTTTGGTCCTCAGCTCCACCTAGACCTGCCCCCCCATTCCTGAAGTTCCCTCCTACAGCTCCGCCCAGACCCACCTGAACTCCCATCTACCTCACTTCCTATCCCCCAGACCCTCCGGCTATCTGGATGGGGATGGAGGCCATGTGCTCCTTCTTGGGGGGTAATATGGCTCTTCTAATAAACCTTGTAATAATCTTTCTCCTGCGCCTGCCTGCCTCTGCCTGGTCTCCTGGCATGGATGTGTCTGATCCTCCTTCATTGATGGCCCATACAGATAGGCTCCCCAGTAGATTTGCTCCCCCCTCCACTTCAGAAGGGGGTTCGACCAGCTGCCCTGGGACCTATCCTGAGATGCTACACTCCAGTCGTCAGAGGACCACCAAGGTAACTTTCTCCTGACTGAGCTCTCTACCTGCCCATCCAACACCACTAATTAAGTCCTACCTCCAGGTGAGTGACCAGTACCAGAGTTCTGGGTTTCTGATTTCTGTCATTCTGTCTGTAAGGCCACCTGGGCCTTCGTGGGCTAACCAAGCCCCCCACCTGCCATCTAACCGAAATCTTGGCCAAGTGCCCAGAACTGGGCGCTAGGGCCTACCATGGCCAAGGGCCCCTGTGGAGAAAACATGATGACATTTCTTACTGGCAGCTCCTCCCCCTCCCCCCACTATTTCTTTTTTTTTTTGGTCGGTCTTGGGGCTTGAACTCTGGGCCTGGGCGCTGTCCCTCAGCTCTTCAGCTCAAGGCGAGCGCTCTACCACTTGA